CCACTTCGCACTCGCTGAAATACTTCTTTTTCCCTCGTGGTTTATCCATTGTTGTTTAAGAACAACATAGAACAAAGCATTTACATATGCAAATATACATAATTATGGGCGGGTCGGGGGGGTGGCTGTGGGCTCGTTCACGTACGTAAAATATCACGCTCATTCGGATTTATAAAGGGAATGTGCGTAGATCTGTGCGTACGCACAGTTTTATGCATCTGGATTTTTTCTTGCTTACGCACATTCCTAGTTTTGTCCGTACGCCATGTTTTAGTGTGAATTCTACGCACGTCGTTATACATGAGGCCCCTGGTCCAGGATGCCGGCTCATTGCAGGTTACATAGTAATACACTGTGAGCAACTTAGAACTTCCCCCAAAAGCATTGTTTTGCACTATCGGAGGAAACAAGAACATGCAAACTGCACAGACATGGTGAAGTGTTATACAAACTCACAACCATAAAGGCAAAAAGCTACAGTGCTATCCACAGAGTCATTTGGCTGCCAGGAAATATGTTGCTTTAGAAAATAAATTTTGAACATAAAGGTTTGTGGGCCAGTGGTGTATCAAAAACCTAGCTTTTAGCTTTTCACCATTTATAGTGGTGCATATTTTTGCTGAAGATTCAGCAAATTAATTTCCTAGCAAAGGATCCTTCTGCAGGTTTCCACTAATACTGTCCTGATGTGTTGGTGCAACTTTTAGGACCAATTCCAGCGTTAGACCGAGAAACTCACCAGTTCCTTTATGAAGCAGCTGCGGTACACATTCCTTAAGTCCCTGTTCACGTGTGGGCATGCATTGTCCACGTTGGTCAATAGCACCAGTACAGGGACATCTAAAACCATCAATAAATGTGTCTCACTAGGCATATTTACAACAAAATGTTGTATGGAAAAAGCCATTAAACTTGTGGCATTCATCACATTGATGTCCATCACACACAGAAGCACCTGCCATCACCACTCTGTACTTCCTGAATTAATAAGTGATCAACTGAGCTAATGTTCCTGTCTCAACATTCAGGACCAACCCCCCACAGCACACTTAGTCAGAGGTGCCACCTCTGTCAGTTCTCCCCAATCACTAACCATGAAAGTCAGTTCTCTGGATTTCATGAAGTTTCTTCTTCATTTCATCAGCCATATATTGAAAGCGAGTGGCATCTATCACACACACCACACAGTGGATCCTGTCCTGAAGTGGCAATCGGCTGCCCGTCTGACAATCAGCTTTCATTGGTTGCACAGGGTTGAACTAAACGAACAAAAAAGTGTGAATGACACAACCAGACATGCACTGTAAAAAAAAATCCATCAAAAAATGGAAAATGTACTGGCAGAAAATTACTGCCACATTTTCCATTAAGTTAACAGACTCTTCCTTCAAGTCTCAAGGAAAATATTGTAAATTCATTCCACTTGAAAAGTTACAACTTAAGCCAATTCAGCGTAAGTGTGTGGCTCAGTAGCCTAAGTATTTGGGCTATATTTTCTAATTACTTTTTGTAGTTTTGTGAAAATCACCATTTATTAAACAAACAAATCTGCATTGGCAGAATGAAGAATTAAAAATGAAAATAAACTATTATTTAAGAAATATTCCTTGGAACAACAAACTGTGGAAAACTATGAATTTACAATATTTCCTTGAGACTTGAAGGAAGAGTCCGTTAAAACAAAAAATGTGCCAGTAATTTTCTGCCAGGACATCTTCCGTTTTTCGACAGATTTTTTTTTTTTTACAGTGTGCACTGACTTTGAGATCATGAGAAACTCAAGCAAAATGCAATCTGATACCATTCGTATGATACTTATGTAACAACAGTACCTTATTTATGCTAATAACAAATCAGTGAATGAGATTTAATTTCCTCCAAAGAGAGTGTAGGGAGAAAAACACCAGTAATTATAAACATATATAAGTCATTAGAGGGATCAGACCTGCATGTATTCATATAACTGTTTTGTTATTGAAGCCTGGTTAGATACACAGTTCTTACACTGTACTTGTCTGGTATGTAGCCCTTCAGGATGCTCTCAATATCTTTAGGGTTCACGCCTCCATCCTTCCCTGCTTCCAGTCCCATGGTGTCACACAGGAGGAATGCCAGAGGCCGTCCACCTCGACCCGCCCTCACAGTGTAAGTGCGATACTGTAAGAAGACACACGATGTCATTCATCTTCTGACAGCTTGTCCAATTTAACAGGCATCTCAAACTTACTAGTGGCAAGGTCTTCAGCTCTGGCAATTCACTTGAGTTTTCTGTTTTCAAAGCAATACATAGAAAAATCAAATAAAATGGTCCCAGATAAAAATTCTTCATTACTGGAGATTTTAAAAGGATATGTTGGTGACAAAGGGATGCCCTGGTGTAGTTAAACACCCACCAGGAACTAGTTAGACTTACTGCTGGTAATGTAGACCAAGCTCTCGCTGCGGTTTTACAGGGACCAGATGGACCCACAACAACAAACGCCATACCCCTTACTCCCATAGTACCCCCCATAGGACCTCCTGAGGGACACGGCTGACACAGCTTTGTGCCAGCAGATTTTAGTGCCACAGATTACATTTTCATTCTGTGTGGAAATCATTCGATTGATCGATGGGCTGGATTTAATAACAATTAAAAGTCATGTCACGGGCTGGTACCCCTGCAGTACAAGATACTGTGAAGCCTGGAGCCCAGTGTGATTTCATATCATGGAAAGTACAATTCAGCGCCAAATGTCCTCTATTAATGGCAATAAGAACATGATGAGGATGGCACAGTTTTTCTGTGGGCGGCACTGCAGATTCATACATTTAGGATTAGGGGTTTGAATCCTGCCTCAAGCTATTCATGCATGCAGATTACATGCTCTAACTGTATTGTGAGTTTGCCTCCTACTGGTGCTCTGTATTGCCCTACATCCCAAAAACATGCTGTTGCGTGAAGTAATATATCTAAATAGGCTCATTGCAGCACTGAAACAGAAAGTGCCCCTTTCTGTTGATTCCTGGGAGATGATCAACGCCATTATAGTAGGAATGTGGTCATAGAAAACAGATGGAATTCAGGGTGGGTACCCTGCTGAAAGGTCTTCAAAAAGAGCCCATCCCAGCAATCTGTGTTCATTATCCAGTGTACTAGGTAACATGGATGTCTGCACCCAAACTCAAACAGGGGTGGTGTGTGATTTGGCAGGTTAGGGCTCTGAGACAAATCTCATTGTCATTAGAGTAATTTTATCTTTGGGCCCTTGAGAAACACTATTAACCTCCAATTGCTCCAGGGACTGGCTGACTCTGCTTTATGAAGTGTATTTCGGTTTGGGTAAACACATCTGATTTAGTTTTAAAAGACACACATAGTACAAATAGTAAAATAAAATATTATCCCTCCTCTCTGGTGAGAATATGAGGGCATTCAGATACTCCTCTCATACCATGAAGGAAGATTCAGATGATCTCATTACCTGCATGGTCATGCAGGTTGCATCGCTTCCTGCTTTAGCTTGGCTTGTCATGTTGCCACGGAAAACAGAATTGATGGAGTTGAAGAAGCTTGATTTTCCAGCACCAACTGCACCAATTAGAAGAATCCGAGCCCGAGGCACTGAATCAATAGTGGGCTTGTAATCATGCAGGTATTGCTTGAGATTAGTCCGTGTGCTAAAGGAATGGAAATGGGAAATAGTCAAAATGGATAAGGAATACAAATAATCCCATATCTAATAACATATTGCAATAGCTTCCTTTACATCACATTAGCCGTCTGCTACTGAAACTACATAATGAAATATCTCACATTCTTATTAGGATGTGTTTATTCATTTACATTTAGTTGGCAGATGCTTTTGTCCAAAGTGATGTACAATTGAGAAAGCAGGGTCAGTCAGTCCCTGAAGCAATTAAGGTTAAGGACCTTGCTCAAACCGCCCAAAGGTGATATCACTCTGCCCACCATAGAATCTGAACCAGAGACCTTTAGATCATGGGCAGAGAGGGTATGCGTATTTTAAAAATATATACATAAAATTATGTGATACTAGTAACAAAAAATGATTATATTTGGTTAAACAAGCTTCACACCTATGGTCCCACACAACATTCCTCCATGGTTCTTTAAGGAGCTCTGGATTCTCCTCCTCCTTCACCTCTGTCTCCACTCTTTCAGTGCTGCTGCTGCCTCCCATTTTCCAAACACCAACTTCCAGACCTGTTCAATGAATGCATTGTTTTTCCTTTTCTGTTCAAATGCAAGTTACACTTACATGCATTTCTTTACCAGACACTTTACTCCAAAGTGACACAATTGGGAAACTGGGGTTAACAGCATTGCTCAAAGGCCCAGTGGTTAGTCGACTGATCACAGGATTTGAACTGACTACCTGCGGAACTGGCTGAACCTTACACAGCATTATCTATTGACATTCAACCATTCTGAGGAGTCTTGCTGTGAGGTGCGTGCACATACTCCCCAACCTGACCTGACCTGGTGACTCTGCAAATTGTGTTTGACTAGGAGAACACTCTTCAAAGTTTCACTAAATGTGTGACCGATTCAATAAATGAATTTTGGCAATTGACAGTTTTGTTCCAAGAATGAGGTTTAGTGTATTAGCAATTCAGAACAACTATAAACAAATATATCCATCCATTATCTGAAATCTCTTGTCCTATTCAAGAATGCGGGGGGTCCAGAGCAAAGCAAAGAAGGGAACAACCGAGGATAGGGTGCCAGCCCATTGCAGGGCACACTCATTCACACAGGCATACCTATGGGCAATTTGGCAACTCCAATTAGGCTCAAGATGTTTTTGGACTGGGGTGATGGGGGCAGCAGTCTAAGCAGGGATGCCCAGACCTCCTTCTCAACTTCCATCTCCTCCAGCTCCACTGGGGGAATACCAAGGCATTCCCAGGCCAGCTGAGAGATATAGTCTCTCCAGTGTGTCCTGAGTCTGCCCCAGGTCCTCCTCTCAGTTGAACTTGCCTGAAACACTTCCCTTGGAAGCTGTCCAGGAGGCATCCTAGATAGATATCCAAACCACCTCAACTGTCTCCTTTCGAAGGGAAGGAGTAGCAACTTTGAGCCTCTACCGAATGTCCAAGCTCCTCGCCCTTTCTATAAGACTGAGCCCAGACACCCTGTGAAGGAAACTCATTTCTGCCTCTTGTATTCATGATCACATTCTTTTGGTCATTACCCAGAGCTGATGACCATAGGTGAGATTAGGAACATAGATTGACTGGTAAAATAAAACCTTTGCCTTCCAGCTCAGCTCCCTCTTTACCATGTCAGAAAGGTACAGAATCCATCTGTTGATCTCTTGCTCCCTTTTTCCCTCACTCATGAACAAGACCCCAAGATACTGTCACATGTCAAAAATGTTGGAGGCAGGAGCAGGGAAAAGGGAAAACAATAAGGGGTTTATTAGGGCAACTGAACAGGGCTAACAACAGTGGAAAGCACAAGAGGCCACACTGGCGCAACATCAACAGGACATGGTTAATGAAGGAGTTGATGAAAGGCAGCTGGAGTGAGTCACACAGGGGCTGAAAGGAGAGGTAAGACAAATTAACGACGAAACAAGAGGGGCAGGGATGCCCGGTGTGACAGATCCTTAAACTCCTCCTCTTAAGGCAGTAACTTATCCACCACCGGGAGAAGGCAATCCACCTATTTCCGGCTGAGAACCATACACTGTAAAAAAAAAAATCTGTTAAAAAACAGAAAATGTACTGGCAGAAAATTACTGGCACATTTTCCGTTAACGGACTCTTCCTTCAAGTCTCAAGGAAAATATTGTAAATTCACAGTTGTTGTTCCAAGGAATATTTCTTAAATTATAGTTTATTTTAATTTTTAATTCTTTATTCTGTCAATGCAGATGTGTTTGTTTAATAAATGGTGTTGTTCACAAAACTACAAAAAAGTAATTTGAGAATATAGTAATTCACTACATTCATTATTTTTCATGGCTCAAGGGCAATTTGTTAGACTACACAACATAATTTAACAGCACTGAAAGAAGGTGAGAGCTCCCCTAGTGGCTATGGGAGTGCATTTCCACAGAGCAGATATTATGTGTGGCAGCCTCATTGCTTTTAGATCACAAGTTGGGACAGAAGAACAAATCAAATCCAATTTACTCATTTAATATTTCGTTTTCGTCCTGGTCGTGGAACGCTGGACCAGTTTTATACCCTTGCAGGGGTACTGGAGGGGGCCTGGGAGTTTGCCTATCCAGTCTACATGTGTTTTGTGGATTTGGAAAAGGCTTACGACTGGGTTCCCCGAGGTGCTCTGTTGTGGGCGATCCGGTCCCTGTACGAACGGAGCAAAAGCTTGGTCCGCATTGCCGGCAATAAGTCGGACGTGTTCCAGGTGCGTGTTGGGCTCCGCCAGGGCTGCCCTTTGTCATCGGTCCTGTTTATCATATTTATGGACAGGATTTCTAGGCGCAGCCAAGGCGTTGAGGGTGTCCAGTTTGGTGACCTCAGGATTGCCTCGCTGCTTTTTGCAGACGATGTCGTCCTGCTGGCTTCATCTGCTGGGGATCTCCAGCAGGCACTAGGGCGGTTCGCAGCCGAGTGTGAAGCGGCAGGGATGAGGATTAGCAGCTCCAAGTCCGAGACCATGGTTCTCAGCCGGAAACGGGTGGTTTGCCCTCTTCGGGTTGGGGAAGACGTACTGCCTCAAGTGGAGGAGTTTAAGTATCTCGGGGTCTTGTTCACGAGTGAGGGTAGGCGAGATCGGGAGCTGGATAGACGGATCGGAGCGGCGTCTGCTGTTCTGCAGGCGCTTAACCGGTCCGTCGTGGCTAAGAAAGAACTGAGCCAAAAAGCCAAGCTCTCGATCTATTGGTCCATCTTTGTCCCTACCCTCACCTATGGTCATGAGCTATGGGTAATGACCGAAAGAACGAGATCGCGAATACAAGCGGCCGAAATGAGGTTTCTCCGCAGGGTGTCTGGGCTCTCCCTTAGGGATAGGGTGAGAAGTTCAGATATCCGGGAGGGCCTCAGAGTAGAACCGCTGCTTCTTCACGTCGAAAGGAGCCAGTTGAGGTGGTTTGGACATCTGGTGCGGATGCCTCCTGGGCGGCTACCCGGAGAGGTTTTCCGTGCATGTCCTACAGGGAGGAGGCCCCGGGGCAGGCCCAGGACTCGCTGGAGGGATTATATCTCTCGGCTGGCCTGGGAACGCCTCGGTGTCCCCCCCGAGGAGCTGGTGGGGTTAGCTGGGGAGAGGGAGGTCTGGGTGCCTCTACTGAAGCTGCTACCCCCGCGACCCGAACCCCGGACAAGCGGCAGATGATGGATGGATGGATGAATATTTATTTTTTTTATTAGGCTTGATTTTTGGAAGCCCATGTTCAGAAACCCACCACAACTGAAAATGAAATGCTACAGATATTAGCCCTTCACAGACAGCTTACACTACAAAAAAAGCAAGTTAAGAGAGACATAAAGTATCATCATTATGTAAATATTAAACAGTGTTTTTGGGGTACTGTTGTTTTATTCATTACCGTCATACCATGCAAATATACATCAGCACTATTGGTCTTCAGGAGAGTGGGCAGGTCCAGGAGCTGCAGAGTGAAACAAACTTTATAATCTGTCAGTGAGCACTGCTTTGCCTGGAAATTAACTTAAGCATGTATTACACATTACAGGAGAAATACTTAAAAATTAATTAGATTTATTAACTGGCTCCAGAAAGTAGGAACTGTAAATGAACTGACCTTAATGAGTATTATAGTCAGGTACGTATAAATTCATTCCACTTGAAAAGTTACAACTTAAACTGAGTCAGTGTATTTGGGCTTGTAATCCAAAGGTTTCTGATTCAAATCCAGCTACAGCTGGATGACTGCTTGTTTATGGGCCCTTGAGTAATGAAAGGTAATGAATGGAGTTTTAATTAAATTTTTTTAACTAATTAAATTAAGTGAAATTTAATAAATACATGGAATGACTGACATAACTTACTGGTTTTATCGTGTTAATTCACTTTCACCTGGTATATATCCTCCTGAGACGCCACCCATTGTCCATTGTAGTGGACATTTTGTTTTTGCATCTATCTTTTCACTGACGTAAGGAAATATATTTATTCCTGTTGTACACTAAAGAGGACATGCTGTGAAATTAAAAACAAAAATAAATTTGAAAAAATCTAAATTTTAAGATGTCTTATTTCCTCCAAAGACAAATAACCTACAATTGAAGGACACTTTTTTCCTTGGGTCTCAGGAGGATATTCTAATGTTAAATTTAGTTTGTTTTTTTTGTTCAAAGTAAATGTGCACTAACTAACCAGATAAATCGCTGTAAACAAGCTTCTTTTGACTGCCTAATTTTTCAAAGAAGTCATATTAATACACATTTTGAAAACCATCTGAGATCCCTAGGAATGGCATGGTTTGAGAACAATGGAAACTCCCAATTCAGACATAAAAAAAAGCTTCAAAACATCGTTCAGCTGGAATTTTCACAGAACCATAAATTGAACCAGTTATGCGATTACTACATTTTGTTGGCTGTTTAAATATAGGTAGGTTTATATATGTTGGGCAAAAGTAGGTTTTGCAGATTAGCTAAGAATCTTCCCAGGCAGAGCTTAAAAGGGTAAAAACAACACTCAATGCATACTGTACAGTGTTAAAGGTAACACTGAATGGTGTGGACCCATATAAACACCATGCGGTGTTAATTTAACACTGGCACATTTGCTGTGTAGACGTAGCTTATTGTTGACTTCATGCTCATTGAAGTTTCTGCTTTTAACATATGTATAAAGTAATGTTATCCGTTATATAAACTCAGGTGAAACAAAAAATGTACGTTTTCATGGCTGCCAAATCTCAAGCATCTGGCATGACACACTTTGAGTCATGCTGGAAATCTTACAGCAAATCTATATTATTCCAATATAAAACCTAAAATTAGCTATGTCAGTGGTGTATTTACACGGTTAAATACAAAAGCAGACTATTTACAAGGTACACAGCAAATGTGCCAGTGTTAAATTAACACTGCATGGTGTCTATATGTGTATACACCATTCCGTGTTACCTTTAACACTTTACAGTGTGCAGTGAGTGTTGTTTTTACAATGTTAATGTTTCTTAACTCATAGTGTTCAATTTACAACCTAGAGTGTTGTCAAAGAGTCTCCACCTCCACATATCTGCCGCATTTTAATATGCACACAAGACATCATGAGGATCAGAAGAGTGAGCCCAGATTTACCCACCATCATGAGAAAGACTCTTACCAAAAAGGACCTTACAGCCTTTTCTTGCTTTTTGATGAAGTTTTGTTGGCTTGGTTTTGATTCATCTTGAGGGTTAGGGCGCTGTCGTCTTATAGCATTTTGTTATTGCGTCAGAGGAAGAACTCTTGGAAATATTCAGGGCGTGTCTCTAGAGTGGTATGTATTTCAATGGTGTGGGGGTGTGTTTGACTGCCAGTCCTACCCTTGGATGATTAACATATGTGGAAAGGGGTTGAGAAAGTTGCGATACCCTTCTCTGTGCAGCTCCTGGTACTACCCACTCTCCTGTAGACCAATGATGCTGGATGTATATTTGCATAGCATGACACAGTACTGTTTTTGACTTAATAGATTTTTTTTGATCCACCGCGATTGTGATGGACAGGGCAACAGAACAAAAATCACAAAAATGGCTTTGTTGCGCTAGTGAATAACTGAGAGGATTTAGTCCATACTAGGGGAAGCATGATTAGCTTGAAGGAAAATGCCATGGAAAAACAAATTTGCTTTTCTAAGCCTAGGCTTTCTAGAAAGAATGTCCAGAGCATGTTTACCACTACAACTAAGGAGAATTGTTTGGGGATACACAAATATAAGAATTGCACTAGTCAGCTTAACTACCATGCACCAACCCAGAAGAACTACTAAATGTGATAGACTAAAATCAGTGCCATACCATCCTCGCTCATGGTGGGTTTCTAAAAATTAAACTTAATGAAAATCTGAATATTAAATCAGCAAAGTGATTTGATTTGTTCTTCTATCCCAAGTTATGGTCTAAAAGCAATAAGGCCACCACCCATTATATCTGCTTTAGTGGAAATACACTATTATGGTGGGTTAGTAAAACATAGCAGCTGAATGCCAAAATGAGTTCAAATGAGAGTACATTAAAATAGGGCAGATATGGGCCACCCATTTTGTACTTGTGTGGCACCCATATGGGCTTGCTATTTGGGGAGGTGGAGACACATTGTCCTAACATTCTAGGTTGTAAATTGAACACTATAAGAGTTAATAAACATGAACACTATAAAAACAACACTCACTGCACACTGTAAAGTGTTAAAGGTAACACTGAATGGTGTGGACACATATAGACACCATGCAATGTTGATTTAATACTGGCACATTTGCTGTGTAAGAACTGTTACATGTGTGTACAGACATCTCAAATTGAAGATCTCACTCGAGCCAGTTGGCCGAAGTTCTATGTCATCTGACAAGAAATATTGTGAAAAGGTTTTTGAATTCTACTGAATTAATTTGATTTGACAGCCAGGTATGGAGGGCTAAGAGTGCCAAAATTAAATAAATAAATACACCAATAATTAATTAATTA